TAACGTTAACGTTAACGTTACGTTAACGTACGTTACGTTACGTACGTACGTACGTACGTAGTACGTACGTACGTAGTAGTAGAGTAGAGAGAGAGAGAGAGAGAGAGAGAGAGAGAGAGAGAGAGAGAGAGAGAGTTTCATCGCAACTAATATTCAACTGAATCATCTTCTTTGCCTATTGTTGCCCCTTTGAGCAGCTGTCAGCCATAGCTAGAAAGTGGGGATCTAGATCCCGTTGTGATCCATATCCCAGAGCACTGGAATGTGATCCTAGAGCAAGATTGGCACCTAGATTAGGATATCCCGTTAACTATCTGCATTCCTCATGCTGCTGGGCAACTAGCTATTTGATTCCCACTCCTGATATAAGTGAGAAATGCGCCAATGGGTAGCACTCGAGAAAGGCCTAGAGGTCATTCAGCTAGTTGCATAATCCTCAGGTGAGAAGCTTGTGAACAGAATCTGGCACACATTTTCAGGCCTTCGACCTTGCATCGAGTTGAAACTTCTTTCTTGATGTGACAATTTTAAAATCGGTTGCCAATTAATCATAGAGACATCACCTTCTCCATTTGAAAAAACTGGTATTTGAATCAACACATTTGTGCATGAAGACATGGCTGTCATATGTTAGCTACGGTTCGAAGGGTCGAGTTAACTCCCACAAAATTAGTAAATGATGGTGTTTCCTTTATAATTGAGGTCTTCTTGCCCAATATTGATTCTTCTTGAATGATCAAAGGGTTTGAAATTTGAATTGCTTCTCTGTGGTGGTATTACATGGAGTAGAAATGGAAGCAAGAATTAATAAAGATTTCCAATAGTTCTTTCCAGTTTGAGCCCCAGAAAGGGCGTTACTATCAGGAGGATATTTAGATTTTGAAGTTGTATGAGAATAGAAAAATGCCTTCAGTTTCATACAAAATGGTCATAAAATGAAAAACTGAAATCTCCATGTCATTTTGACTAGTAACATTCCTAGCTGATAGGTAGATGGTGCAGGTTCACACAAGACAGCCCCACTGACCAACACATATGAAGTGTCCACTCTCGTGGGACTGCACATATCCATGGTCAACTTGTTTGACAAGAGATGTTTGGGGAGGTGGCACGCTCTATTCATCGACAAATTGGAGGTTGCTAAGTAAGGGTTAAACTTAGGGATCATCAATGAATCTTTGGTTTATCCTTTGTACCTTCACAAGAATCATTCACTTTGAGATCTCTTGTCGCTTGGCCTAGGTGTGAACATCGAAAGAAGTGGTTATCTGGAATTCAATGGAATAAAATAAAAAGTCTCTCTTTCTTTTATTAATCAATTTGAATTCCATTTACAAGTGGCACAATACACTGCTGTAAATAAGAAATGAAACCCTAGAGAAACCTAGGATATTTGCTTTCACTATCAAATGGAATAGAAATATCCAAGAATTAAAAACAAGCTTCCACTAACAATTTTAATAGTAATAATATTCTTGGAAAATAACATAAAACATGCAAACATGACTGAAAATAAAACTAAACAGCCAGGAAGACTTACTTGAATTTACTTTGGGTCACCCCACACCCGATTTCTTGATTGATGGCATATCCTGATCCTATTGCCTTATTAAATTTTCTGAGCAAGGAAGCTTCCTTAGGCAATACCTCACAAACTAGGGTTCTGAGAGTATGAGACGATTAGGGTTTTCAAGACCCATTTCAATCCTATGAGGCATAATACCGCTGTGTGGTACCTTGCCTTAACCAAATCTAGGGATGGGTGTGCCCTCTTCTTTGCTTACTATGGGTGGTGTGTGCCACCCCTAGAGACTTATGTGGGGTGGCGTACCACCTAGAGAGAGAAGAGAGAAAATGAGAGAGGAGAGAGAGTGGGGCTTGGAGGAGAGAGAAAGTAGAGAGACTAGAAAATAAAGGGAGTAGAGAATGGGGAGGGAATGGGAACCCCTCCTTATATAGGCCTCAAAGGGCCTTAGGTAATGCCTGTCCAATTGTTACTTATCATGATCAATAGGGTTTTAAGAAATCTATGAGGTGAGAGAATTAACTCTAAGCCATCCATCTCATGAATCAACCATCATAATTTAGGAAGGAATATTAGGAACCTTATCCCCTGAATCTTTGACCCATATCCACTTCTACTCAACCTAGGATAAGACCCATTGAAACGTAATCTTCTAGAACTCCCATATCTCTCAAGATTGTAAAACTTAAAAAAGATAAAGATATGGCCAAAGAAATTATAGAAAACTAACTCCCACAAAATAAGGACATTCTTTTTCAAGAAGATTTGCTGAACTTAAAATGCACTTTTTAATTTCATTAAAAAAAAAAACTAAAATAATAGACGGGGGCGTGTCACCTCCATGAGTGAGTTGTGGGCCCATAGGCTCCACGCCCCTAGCCAATGATGTGGCACACAGGTGGGGCTAGATCCTAGGGCCCCACACAATTTCAAAAATATATTTTTCAAGGAATTCACAGTTGAAATTAATTTTTAAAATTCTAAAAAAATTCTAAAATTCACAAAAGCATTTCTTTCACTAAAAAGAAAATATCTAGAAGTGGACTATACTAATGAGCATAGTTGCAGGGATCTTGGTCAAGGGATAACGATCCCCTCTTGGAATCTCGATCTGGCAAACCCCGAGCCCGAGCCAGGGCGTTGCTTCCTCTCATTAGGGAATCTCAATCCCTACTTATTAGGATATAAGTTTTGAACTTAAAGGGATCACGATACTTAACTGGAAAGGATCTTGATCCACTTCTCCAAATTGTCTACTTAATTGATGATTTTTATTTTATATACTGTTTCATAGTCTACTGTAATAATGGAATTCTTCCATATATTTTCTTTTTTTCTCTTCAGTTAAATTTAAAATTTGTAATTTATAATAAAAGCTATGTTCTTGGATTTCTTAATGCCCCTTGTGTCATTTCATGCATTTATTGTATCTCCCTTCAAATATTCCCTAAAATCTTT